GCTCACACACCATGCATGGTTCAACCTCTTGGATCTTGTGGGAATCTTCTGATCGCCAAAGCCCCTCAAGCCTTTCACCATAACCTACTCATTCATACTTATGGATTCATGAGGTCACACGAGTGCCACATTGGACCAGAATACCCAGCTCTTGTTAGATAGGCAGAGACGTACTGTCCTTCACAGTCCAGCTGGAGCAGCCCTTTCCTGCCTGGCTCCCCTCACACCCTGCTCCTTCCTTTCTCCATCCAGCCCCTTGGAGAGCTCGGTAAAGACAAGGGTGACCAGTGCTGTACTGCATAGCCCAGATCCGCATGCCAACAATAAGTGTAACATCAGAGTCCAGCACTGGGACTTCCCATGTTTGGCCGTTCAACATGGTAGTCACACCTCTTCCAGATAATATGGTCGCTGTCCTCATCTGCAGAAGGATTGTCAAGAGTTACCCAGACCCAAGGTTCATTGCCATGTCACTCAGTACCTGGAGGAGATTCTTACCCCCTCACTGGCTTCTAGGGCAGCCCCATGCGTCTGTGCATCCACCCAGAGCACTGCCATTGGCTGACTTGTCCCACTGTCCCTTGACTACCCTGACATGGTCACCTCATACAGAGCAAAGCAGGGACACGAAGAGAAGGTTTTTATTTAATTTTCATTCATTTGTTTTAGGTACATGTGGTAGGTATGGAAGCACATGGATTCTACATCACACATATAGATATTAGAGGATAACTTAACTCAGTTCTCTCCTTCTACACTGTGCGTCCTGGGGACCGAACTCAGGTTTTCAGGCTTGGCGGCAAGCGCCTTTCCTGCTGAGCCATCTCACCAGCCCAAGAGCAGTTTTTAATATTGGTTTTCCTAGGTTATAGTAGACACTCATCTGCTGTAAAGAACATAGAACTGGGGATTTGGAGACCTGAGCTCTTTTGTTCCTTCTCTGCTTTACTTTTTCTAACATTTAATGTTTAACGTGCAACAATATGGAACACAACATAAGGTGTGGCCCCTCCCAGAGGCCTCCTGAACTGGTCTAGACAGTGGTGCATGCAGCATGGGGCCCTGGGCACTGCCCCTCGTGTCTTAAGATGGAAGGTTCATTCTTTCTCCCGAGTTCATCTTAGATTTGTCACTCCTAGAGAGGGGTAAGGGTTTATGGACCCTGCATGCAAATCAAGGGTGCTGGCTGCTCATAGGACAGGGAGAGTGACTGGCTTAGACTTGATTTGGCCTCTCCTGGTGCCTGCCCAGAGCTCAATGGCTCCCACTGTCCAGGCAAGGTCATGATTAGGACAAGAGCATTTAGAGACTGAGCCCAAGTTTACAGTAGGATTTTTCCTGAGGCCTACCAAAGACACAGGAAATGTCTGATATTTATTTGGTGAAGAGGTGACTGAGTGAATGAATGAATGACTGAATGAATGAATGAGGGGGCAGTGAAAGTCCAGGTGAATAACTGGAACTCAGGGTCTTCCGAATCTGGGCATCATGGGCATAGGACATATGGAACAGTTTATGGGTGGGAAGCCAGAAGCCAGAGCTAGCCAGCCTCTGGGAGGTTCTAGGACAGCATGGAAGGTTGGTCGGTGTAGACATGCAGTGGAAATGGGGTGCTCCGATGGAGTAAATGTGGTGACCCTGGCCAAGTCCTGGGGAGCAGTTTCCTTCTCAAGGTACTGAAAGTCTGCCTGGGAATTCAGGGGTGTCTTCCAATTGCACTCCCACACTCCCATCCACCCAGAGATCAGCTCTGCGGCTGATTGGTAGCCATTGCTCCTTTGTCACGGGTCCCAGGAACAGAATTTCCAATGGCAGCTAGCTACCCAGCCCCCAGGTTTTCTTCCACCAACAGTGGACTGGGATGGCACAGAACTTCATTTCTAAAAAACCTTTCTGATCATTCAGGTAAAACACACATAGCAATTTTTCTGTGTAAGAAGTAACAAAAATAACAGGCTTAAGGGTTCTGAAAGCAAGGCTAAGTGCCCTTTAATTCCATCTTACAGTCCTTATATTGGTATTTAAGGCGACATCCTTAACTGTTTGAGACTAAAAGACACTAGTTGCCACCTCCCAGGTACACAGAGATACACCTGCCCAAGCGTGGGGCTGGGTTGGGAGATGTAAGACTGGGCAGACCAAGCCCTACACCCCATGGCCAAGCACTGGCATCAGTGGTGTGTGTCTTGTCTGCCCGCTGCCCAGCGTCCTTGCCAGTGTCTTGGCTGTGGGGAAAACATCTCATCAGTATGGCAGGACATTATGGGAAGGGAAGACCTAGGTCCAGTGAAGACAGCCAGACCCCCAGAGCTCCAAGTGGGAGGTTTAGTCAAAACAGTCACATGCCACCATCAGCCTGGCCACAAGTGAGGGTACAAGCCCATCCCTTCCATTCCCTTCCTCCTCCCAGCACATGGGAGGTGCCTGAGCTGTGTCCACACCCACCGTCTGCACTGAGAACACCCAGAGCACACAGACTCCTTTGTGGGCATTGAGTGGCCCCAGAGGTCCCTGGGTGTGAGCTCAGCTGGCCAGTACTATGAAAAGTGCCTGGCATGATGGCCTCTGTGTCTGGTTCCCTGGACTGACCTGTTTTTCATTTTCCTAGTTTTTCTATTGGTGGAATGTGGGACAATAATCAAAGATCAGGTCACATTTCTCAGTTCCCATAATCCTTTCACAGTTCACCTCCGACTGTCGCTCACTGTCCATCTGCTATGGATGGACACAGGCAAATATGAGGTCCCCTTTCACTGTGTATAAAACAAGCAGCCATCACCAAGTCACAGGTGCCCTTTCTTCATTTGCTTGTTTGTTCGCTTATTCATTCACTGAGTGGATATTTGTCAAGTGCTTCCTGTGTCCCGCGCACCATGCAAGCCCTGCTGGTAGGCATCTGTGCCCCTAGGGCAACGCGGCCTTTTCCTGCCCTACTTTTTTGAATGGGGGCATGGAAACAGGCTGACTCCCATTTGCTTACATAATTACTGGACAAGACTGACAACCATGGCTGCTAAGTATGTCTGGACAGGCTGTGCATTGCACAATTTCAGGGGGGGTGTTGCAATGGAAATCCTGTACTGCGGCCCAGAATTAGTAGCTTGTTATCATTGCTCGGATGCCATCAAGACTGTTATGGCTCTACTAGAAAGGGAACCAGTATGCTTGAGGGCTACGAGCTGGACCTTAGGGAATACCTTCTCCAGCCCAGCTGATAGGCAACGTGTGGAATGCCGACCACCCTCTGTAGTGTGCTTTTGACTCCCCCAGCACCATTGACCATGCAAGCAGAAGATTCCCACTGCCATGTTCCTCAGTCCAGCTGCTCTTCACTGGGGTCCACTGCACGGAGGATCAGTTACTTGACCACAATAGGCATTCCTCCTCCTCCTCTGGCTGAGAGCTTGCAGACCCATGAGAATTTAAAAAGCAGAGCAAAAAAGAAACAGGGCAGCCCAATGACAGATGGAAACATGGGCCATTGGGTGCCTCACAGAGCACCTCCCTCCTGCACATCACCCTTCCAGCCCCAGGCCCCAATCACCAAGAGCAATCCCACCAAGGTCATCTGGAGACCTCAGAGGCAGGCATCCCCAGTGACTCCTCCACTCCAGCGAGCAAGCAGGTCATACTTGACCCATCCCTTTGAATCTTGGTACTAAGCTGGGTACTAAGCATGGTGCTAAGCTGGGCATTGAGGATGTCCTGGTAAAACAAGGCTGGCCTTGGAGATCAGGATCTCCTCTGCTCCGCCTCAGGGCAAGATGCTTCCCTTCTGGGCCTGGATTCCATGCCTGGTAGAGTCAACAGTTCTAACCACAGCACGCACAATGAGGAAGAAATAGAACTTTCTGTGCCTCAAATGGGACCAGAAGGGGAGGCACAGCCTGACAGGAAAAAGAAATCTGGCAGGCCAGGCAGGCAGTTTGATGCAAGAGATGCCTGCATCTATCTTTATGGACTCTGAGCAAGCTCAGTGTGCTCCTCACAGCTCGGGAGCACTGTCTGGGCTGCCTGTAGACCAGACCAGCAGCTGCTTGGCTGGGACACATGCTCTGTTTGACTTTAAAAGACTGCAATTCCTTTTGAGTGTGTGCTCATAGGAGTGATATCTGTATACACACACACACACACACACACACACACATGAACCCATGTAGTAGAGCTGCCGTGTACATATGCTTTCATATGCGTATTTCAATATTACAACGTGCCCTTCTCCTTCGACATGTGATCTGTGCTAAACAGGACAGAGGTTTTCTGCTGATGAGAAGCAAGCTCTTAGCTCCTTCCCCCTTTGTGTGATCCATCAACAAGGCCCTGGGGTGTAGATACTGGAGTTGGGGGCAGGGAGGTAGGGATTTAATATGTATGCATATTAAAATATACTAAAATAATTAGGTGCTGTCTAGATCCCAAGATGGAGGTTATCCACATCGTTTTGTGGAGACGGGAGTTGAGGGATATACGAATGGTCCAAACACTTTTTTAGCCTGGTCCTCTTCTGAGGGTGCCCCATCTTTGGGAAAAGATGAAGGGCTATAGTGAGTGCTCACCTGCAACGTGAATTTCATCAGGGCAGGAACTTTCCAGTACAGCCGGCGAGTGGAGCTGCCATGAGGTGCTGCCTCCATTTGTCAATGCTGTGCCAAGCCCTCTGTGTCTTGTTGAGTTCCTAGTTCATTCACCGCATGCACACTGCATAGCACTCCCTGATGTGGCGGGCGCTCGCAGCTAACAGGTGCAGGGGAGAACAGGCGATGCTGTGCACCTCCCCCCCCCTCTTCCTTTTGGCTCGGTTCATTGAGTTAGGACCAGGACTCTGGCCTTCTCTGCCTTGAGAACATCTAGATTCACCCCTTGGGGGACGTGCGCTTGCCCCAGCCAGTCTGGATGTCTCCTGGAGAGGGCTCTGTGTAATCCTTGTATGGAGTACATCCGTAGGGCGCTCCCAGGAGGGGCCAGAGGGCCTTTCTGAATTGTCACCTCTCTCCTTGCAGAGTGGCGACAGGGAAGTGGAGCAAGGATGATCCTACAGGATGAAGACATCACTACCAAGATTGAGAATGACTGGAAGAGACTCAACACCGTGGCCCACTACCAGGTGAGCTGACCACAAAAGCCAGAAGCTGCTCATAGCGGGTCTTAGATCACAGCCACTGAGATTAGACGCCAAGTCTCCAATGCGTTCTTCACCAGCAATCCATGATCCTTGGTGACCCAAGGGAAGCTGATGTCGCCCAGTCAGAGAACCCCTAGCCTCTTGGGAGGTAGGATAGCAACATGCGTACTTCTTGGAGGGTGTGGGCAGAGTCCCTGAGGGCCCTTGCTTAGAAGGCCTCCTGAGCACTTAAGGCTGGGTGATCTCCAGAAAACCTGGGGAGGGAAAAGTGAGGGAGGGGCTCCTGCCAGAACTTTCTCTCTACGGAGACCATGAAGTAGTTAGTACTTAGGTCTTTGCCATGTCTTATCAGACGGGAAAGGAGTAGTCTCCAAAGCCCAAGTTCCAAGAAAGGTGCTAATTGTCCCTCATTTCCCCCAAATAATCCTAATTTGTCCTCATTTCCTGGAATGGGTAGGAAGAGTTTCCATGCCCAGGCCCTTAGAAGCCTCTACCCTGTAGGTGCCGGATGGTTCCGTGGTGGCTTTAGTGTCTAAGCAAGTGACAGCCTATAATGCAGTGAACAACTCCACAGTGTCCAGGACTTCAGCGAGTAAATATGGTAAGACTTCCTCAGGGGTGGGAGCTAGAAGTATCCTGAGCAGGTGTTGTCAACAGACCTCATTGCCTAGGGGAGAGGAGCAGGTCAGGTGACCATTGGGGAAGAGAGCGAGTATGGGGCAGAGGTAACTGGTTCCAATCACTAGCTCTAGAACATAAACATGTACTTTATCTGCATGCAAAAAGAAACCTAGGGCCGGGAATAGCTGAATGTGTAAAGGGTTTGTGGTGCAAACACAGGAATCTAAGTTTGACCCCCATGTAAAAATGCCAGCCATGGTGGTGTGTTTACTCGTAATCTCAGCTCTGGGGAAGTGGAGATAGGACGGGACCTCGAGCTTTCCGGCTAACCTAATGGTGACTCTCGGCCAGTGAGAGTACCCATCTCAAAAACCGGGAGGGATGGCACCTATTAAATGACACTCAAAGCTGACCTCTGACCTCCATATATGTACATACACGTATACATGCTCATGATGGATGGATGGATGGATGGATGGATGGATGGGTGGATGATGTGTGGGTGGATGGATGGATGGATGGGTGGATGATGGGTGGGTGGATGGGTGGATGGATGGGTGGATGGATGGGTGGGTGGATGGGTGGGTGGATGGATGGGTGAGTGGGTGGATGGGTGGATGGGTGGGTGGATGGATGGACGGATGGCATACACACAGAAAGAACTTAACCTTCATGAGGTCATACAGTCTATAAGCCTTACCTTCCCCTATCACCTCACGTCAAGTTCACAGTAATCTAGTCAATTAAATAATTATTATCTCTCTCCATTTTTACATTGCTAAGCTATAACTCAGACGCACAGAGGTTAGACGATGGGTAAAGGTCACCCTGCTATTATCCAGTAGCGTGAACGGGAAGGAAGGAAAGGGACTCTGGATATAAGGTGGAAGCCCCAGAAGTGCCCTGCTCTGTCACTTTGTGCTGGGGGACACCTGGCCACCCCGAGCAGTGACATTCTTGTTGTAAAGCAGAGTTTAGAAAAAAAAAAAAAGACAAACATCGCAGGGTGTTGTGGACAATAAAGAGGTGAGTGTATAGGCTACACATGGGCATAGTAGGGCATCATTCTCTACCTGTTCAGTTCCCATTTACCACAACTCAAAACACAGGAAGGAGGCTCAGCAAGCAGATGAAGTGGCCCAGGCCAGAGGGGGACGAAGACAAACAGATGGCCCCGTGAGCCCTCACCTGCCCACGATTCATTAAGGGAGACAGCCTACCTGCTCTTACACGGGCACTTAATTGGCCACACATGCTACAGGACTGGAACGCAAGCACGAGGAAAAGTGTAAAAGAAGAACACACTTACATGTCTACAAATTGAATAATTAAGGGTTGACTCAATGCCAAGTACAGGAGGAGGGCGGCTTAAGTGGGAGGAATTCGCTAGAGATAATTCCTGGAGGTGGCAGGAAAGACATAGGCATTTCGGGGAATGTGCCACACCAAGGCAAAGGAATAGCAGCAGCCGGTGGCAGGAAGGATCAGACAGCAGTGGCCTTGGCTGGGGAGAGGAGCATGCTGGGGGCTTCTGGGTCCAGGACTGCACAGACTCACTCTACGGGGCTGGGTTCTTTACTTTGGCAGAGAACATGATCCGGTACACAGGCAGCCCTGACAGCCTCCGTTCCCGAACACCCATGATCACCCCTGACCTGGAGAGTGGAGTCAAGCTGTGGCATCTGGTGAAGAACCATGAGCACGGAGACCAGAAGGAGGGGGACCGGGGGAGCAAGATGGTGTCCGAAATCTATCTGACACGGCTGTTGGCCACAAAGGTATGGACCATGGGAGCAGCAGTGTGCAGGGAGTGTATGGTCATAGGAAGGGCCTCCGTCTGCCGCGAAAGAACTGGGGCCGAGGGCTAAAGAGATGGCGCTGTTGGTACAGAGCTTGCCAGACAAGCATGAGAGCCCAAGTTTGATAGCCTCAAGCCCCCGTTAGGAAAGACAGGCTGTGCACAGCGCCTTGCTCCTGCTGGGGAGACTCAGAAAGGAGACTGCCTGGGGTTTGCTGGCCAGTCAATTTAGCCGAATCGCCAACTCCAGGTTCAGCAAAATCCCGTCTCAAAAACTGTGGAGAGGAATGGAGGAAGACGCTTGGAGGTTCCCCTCTGGCTTCCATGTACGTGAACACATATGCACAAACACCTGTACACAGGATAGCCACATGCCGCACTCTGGCTTCCAAGTACGTGAACACATATGCACATACACCTGTACACAGGATAGCCACATGCCGCACTCTGGCTTCCAAGTACGTGAACACATATGCACACACACCTGTACACAGGATAGTCACACTCCGCACATATGCATAATTGTTGGCGCAGCTGCCAAGTGCGCGCCAGCCCCCTTTGCTGTCCTCTGGCACCAGGTACTGTCATCAGCCTGGGATGCCCTGGGATTGAACTGCAGGATCCTGCTCAACGTGTCACTCCAGGCAGATCCCAGCAGACATGAGCACACAATCTGAAGTTTTAGTCCCGCCCTCCTCAGCACCCTTCCTCAGTTATGGGCCCTTGCTGCATCCATTCCCAAATCTCACTATCCCAGTGGCTACACAGCATCAGTAAGGACAGAGACTTGGGCTGCATCCCTTTGCCGACGCCATCTCTAACCCTGATACTGGGGATTATTCCATGCCTAGGGTTCTAGCCTTTCTCTTCAGGGTCTAGGTTCTCTGGTCTCTCCGTGGACCCAGATGGTCATTAGCCAGGGTGGGTGGTAGCCAAACAGAACCAGCAGATTGTATTTGTCGTCTCTGACCAAGCATGCTCGTTAGCATTTCAAAAAGTGATACAATGACACCAGCATAGATGAAGCCAAACCCGGTAGCTGGCAGAGGAAGGTGGCTTTGGCCCTGCCGTGTGTCTTCTGACTGTGGTCTGTGTACTGCCGGGGTCCTGTGAAAGGGGAGAAGGTCTGGTGCATGCTGTCCCCCGCTGCCATGCTTAGCAGGGAGGCAGTGTACTGACCCTGCTTGCCCTGTCCCCGAGGTAGCTTTTTCAAACTACTCAGAGCTGCCTAGGCTGGGCTGGGTCTAAATGTGTCCCCCTCCCCAGGGCACGCTGCAGAAGTTTGTGGACGACCTGTTCGAGACCATCTTCAGTACAGCCCACCGCGGTTCTGCTCTGCCTCTAGCCATCAAGTACATGTTTGACTTCCTTGATGAGCAGGCTGATAAGCATGGTATCCATGACCCGCACGTCCGCCATACCTGGAAAAGCAACTGGTGAGTAAAGGGTGAGGGAGGGCATGTCTGGAGAGGCCGGCGACCTGCCCACCCAGCCTGCATCAGAGAGACAGGTTTTCCGGAGACCTGGCCACTGTCTCCCTCCTCTATGGGTCTCCACTCAACCACATTCTCTGGTCTTCCCCATCTTCTTACTTCCCCCTCCCCTAATCTCTCTTTGTACCTTTATTTCCAGCCTGTTATTCAGTCAACAAACTATACTAATCCCATGAGCATATGCCATCACATCCAGGCCACTGTCACATGCAGCTACTTTCTGGGTGTGGGACAATATGTCCAACACTGAGGACCTTAGACCAGTCAGACAGAGTCCCTGTCTTCAGTAAGCTGGCAGATGAGAATATGGAAAAAGAGAAAGAGTTGTCTATCTACATGGACAAACACTAGCATAGAAAAATGCATGAGTTGGACAGGGCCACCGAGTAACAGCATTTCATGAAATCTTGTCAGGAGGGTTTCGAGGCATGTGCAGATGGCACCTGGATTCTAATTCCATCCAATAAGCTTATCTTTTCTTTCCCCAGGCTTCTTTCCAAAAGCTGCTAAGAATCGGTTTGTGTTCCCTGGGGGGCACAGGATTTTCTAACTACTGACAACACTCCAATCATCTGCACTGAGGTCCCCTTTCTCCTTTGAATGCACAGCATCTTCCCTGCCATCTGTATATAGTGGGTGTTTCATTTGAGGTGGAAGTCACAAGGCCAAGCATCAGTATTCAACACAGGATGCAGAACCTTGAGGAAACGGGGCTCAGTAAATATTGATGAGAAGCAGGCAGTGATGGCTGCTTGAGAGTTTTACCTGGGGCACAGCTAGCTGATGTGAGTCTCGTCCTCTAGAACTGAATCACTGTCACCTTTAGATGGTCCCCTTCCCAGGCCATTTTCCTTCTAAAGCAGCATGGGAGTGGTACCCAGTAATGTAACTACTAGGCTCGGCCATGCTCCAGGACACAGGCAGTCACCTTGATGCCCATGTAGGGGCCCAGACCTGAAAACTAAGGCAGAAGTCAGTCTGGGGTATTGTTGTTGTTCTCGTGAGCATGCTGTGGCCTTTCCTTCTGCCACTTGTAGAGGAGCACTAACCCCCAAAATGCACAGCACACACATCATCCTTACTGTCCTTCTAAAGCAGGGCCCCTAGAATCTGGGTTCCATTCTGTGCCCCCATTCTTATGAAGTGGCTTCCTCCTCTCAAGTCCTATCTGTGATTCTTGGGAGGAGACCTGCGAGTCTACATGTCTCTGACAATGAATCTTTACCTAGTGTCAGCCACCTTCACGTGGAGCAGGTGCTCCACCGAGTCCTATTGCTGTTGGCCAGGGAAACAGGATTTTGCAAGCCACCCCTAAGTGCCAGCCTTCTTTGGGAGTCATGCCAAGGTCTCAGATGCTGCATAGAGACATGGACTGGGCCATGGAAATTTCCGCTCAGGGACTAAGCACACTCCACTTACTGTAGAGAGAACTACACCAGCTTCAAGTTCTCCCTCAGAAAGGCATCCGCCCCTGATCTCCTGGTACCTTGGACAAGATGCAATTAGTAATGATCAGCTCTACCTGTGGATTAGAGTTCATTGTCTCTTTTGAGGACATTGTCTCTTTATTCCTGAATCAAGGTGTGACTTGCCTGCCTCCCCCACCCCGTCTTCCCCAATTCCCTACAGGTTCTCTGTTAAATAACACTCCTTCCCATTTAGCCAGAGTGGCTGCAATCAGCCGGAGATGAGTGTCACCACTGATGTTAATAACATGCTAATATTTCATTAGGCAGGAGCCTCGGTGGTGCCTCTGCTTCCTGTGTGGTATGCCTGCCTCCCTACAGGTTTGAGGGACAGGGAAAAACAGTTACTGCAGCCTTATGGGTTCCCAGCCCCTCTGATCTGAGTGGGACTTAGGGAGATTGGAACAGGGGAATTGACTGGTAGGGAAACTGAGTGTCTCATTCAGAGTTCCAAGCCCAGAGATCATAACCACCTCGTAGGGAGGTTGAGAAGCTACTGTGAGCCTCGGTACTCAGGTGCTCTCAAATCCATTTACTTTCTATCCTGAATTCCCAGTGATAAAGCACAGACACCAAGTATTAGTAGACCTCAGTGTGCCTGCCCCAACCCTATGTGGCACTCATTGTAGAGACTTAGTAAATGCTTGTTGATTGATTGGCATCTGTGAATGTCAGGTCGTCCTGTATTCACGGTGTTTGTTGTCTGTATTATACCGACTGGCTGCTGGCAGCTAGAACAAGAGCAAAAATATTGTATCCAGTGCCTTGAAATAATGTAATTCAAAGATGTTAAGTTCTAAGAGGCAAGCCAAACACACGCGGGCATTGTAACTATCACCAACCGTGAGCACAGCCACCAAAACAACAATAAAACATCAGGGGAAGAGGCGGGAGGCAAAGAGGTAGGAGCGAAGAGGAAGAAGAAAGCCATGCCTGCACTGTCCCCCTCCTTACTGGCAGCCCAGCTGGCTGGTGGGAGCTGCAGAGCTAGAAGGGGCAGGGAGAGCACAGCCCAAAGCTCTCCTCCTGCAAGCCTTCTGTCTAGAAATGCAGTGACCACAGAACCAGGCTGCATTGCATAATTTTCTCCTCTTTGTCTTTGTATGTGGATTCCTTACCTGCAGCCCATCCAAGGAATACACCAATGCAATGTTTTTAAAATAAATCAAGCATGGGCCCGGGGATGTTTGAGCCCTAGGTTTGCTCCCCAATGCCACATAAAACTGTGTATTGTGGTACACACATGTATCCTCAGCACTTGGGAGGTAGAGGCAGAAGGATCCTCAGCTACATAGTACATTTACAGACAGTCTGGGCTACATGAGATCCTGTCTCAAAAAAGAGGGGGAGGGATGGGGAACCGGGGAAATGGCTTGGTTGGTAAAGTGCTTGCCATGCTTGCATGAGGACCCAAATTCAACCCCCAGCACCCACAGAAGAAGCTGCTTATGGTGGCATATACTTGTAAGATAGCACCAGAGAGCCTGAGGCAATAGGATCTCTGATGATTTCTGGCCAGCCAACTTAGCCTAGGTCATGAGTCCCAGGCCAAAAGAGACTCTGTCTCAAAAGAGCAAGCTAAAAAATACAAGGCTGCAGGGTGACCTCTAGCCTCCACAAGTACAAACACAAAGGTATATCCCCCTCCTCAGACACCAACACACACACAACAACAACCATGGAGAACAAACTCATCAAGTGTCCCTCTGAGAAGGCTCTGCATGGGCTGCTCTGGGTGGATTTGGCACCTAGATTAATATGACATTCTCTGCTCTCAATAGCAAATGTTATTTGTGTGTGCTTGGCTGCATATGTCTTCCCTACAAACTTGGAATACAGGGTTCCTGAAGACGGGATGTGTCTCAGTTATTGTGTTCCCTGTTGCTAGCCTCGCTCTTGGAAGGCAATAGGTACTGACTGGAAGACAGGAGGAGAGGGATGAGATACTCTGGGTTAGATCAGGGGCTGGTGGTAAAGGATCATATCCCCCCTCAGTGCCATTTCCTTCACCAAGCAGGAAGTAGCTTATGGCACTAGACAGGAAGCAAGGGTGTGACGTCTGTCACATCATCCAGTAAAGCAGTCAGATGCAAAACCTAGATCCCTTAAAGTCCATCAAAGGGATGGTCCCAGCATCAGGCAGGTAAGAATAAAGTTCAAACTCTGCTTTGAAGCATACACATAGCTGACTCCTACACCAAAAGGAAGGTGCAGAGCTCATACCACAACTCAGTCTCACATCCTCTCAGGTTCCTCCAGAGGTATTTCTCTAGATGAGGTTCCAACCTCACTCGTTTCCTGTGTGTTGAATAGACCCACGTCCCTTCCTGTCCCCTTTACCATCCATGGCAGTCACAGATGGTTCCTAAGCTCTGTGAAATCTAGCCATTGCTCCTTCTTGGAACTCTCTACCAGGCTACACCCCACCACCCCATCACCCCTGACTGGCTGCTTCTTTCCTCCGACAGCCTGCCCCTGCGGTTTTGGGTGAACATGATCAAGAACCCTCAGTTTGTGTTTGACATCCACAAGAACAGCATCACGGATGCCTGTCTCTCTGTGGTGGCCCAGACCTTCATGGACTCCTGCTCCACATCGGAGCACCGGCTGGGCAAGGACTCCCCCTCCAACAAGCTGCTGTATGCCAAGGATATTCCCAGCTACAAGAACTGGGTGGAGAGGTGAGTATGACCTGAGGGTACCTGGTTAGAACAGGCTACAGCCCTGGACCAGACAGCCCTCCCCTGCAAGCAGGACAAAGCTACCACACTAGTCACTGTCACAGAGGATCCTGCAGCTGAAACACCCAAAACTCATGTCCTCCACATTGAAGCAAGCACTGGGAAACATGGCAGAGCTTACTATGTGACCCACATTCCTATTTGGAACAGCATGGATCTTAGTGAAGTGTCTTTTTTTTATCCCAGAAGGAGATGTGATCCCTGATCTTCTCTCTTCTCTCCACACACACACACACACACACACACACACACACACACACACACTCCACTCGTGCCTACATCCACATATTCCTTACACATACATATTACACACATATGTTTAGCATATATACTCTGCAGATGCACAGACTAGATAGACATGCATTCACAGTATTGAATGAATGCACAGGTACCATGAACACATGTATGCACCACACATATATACACCACAATTGCATACATACATATATCTGCCTGCCACCCATGTCCATTTACACATATGCCATACACATAGGACATATGCGTACGTTCATAGCATCCATCTTCCCGTCCATCCTCCCACCATCCTTCCTCCAACCCTGCATCCCACTTCTGCCTCCACACACCTTGCAATGGTAGTGGTGGTGACCCCCTGAAGACTTCCCAACTTGTGGCTAAATTTTGGCAGAGAGGAGAGCCTCTTGCTTTCCTCAGACTGTAGGCTGCTGTATTGACCTCACTGAGGGTACCCAACAGAACAGACTCCTGAATCTGGCATATGATTGGCTATCCCTTCTACTGTATTACCAGTAACCATGAACTATACTCTCATTTGGTTTGGCTTTTCTTTGTTTTTGTTTTGTTGTTGTTTACTTAAAGACTGTTTTTATATTTACCATACAAAGTAATGGGCTTCACGATGACATTTTCTACACGAACGGCACGCCCTCTGCTTATATGCATTATCCTCTGGTCCCCTGATTTCCTCAGATTTTAACCTGGGAGAATCTCAAGGCTGAACCTGTCAATATGAGCCTCACTCGTTTATCATCTGCAGATTTTGTCTGTAGGAGCTAAGTAGAGAAGAACTGCTGTTGGCCCACCAGGGACCTCACCTCTGTGGGCCACACATTAAATGCCATCCATGACATGCACCATAGCATCGAGAAGGCAACAAACTGTAAACATCTAAATACACTTTCTAAGGAGCCCAAATGGATCCTGTGCCATGTAGCTACTGGTCAGTGCTCATCAAGATCCCTAGTTATAGATGAAGGTAAAGCTGGCCCTGGAAGCAGCACTGAGAGGAGGTTGGGCAGCTGGCTTTTCATGCATGCATCCACTAGGCTGACACTGATGCATCCGTGGGCTCTGCTCTGGGTGCATTGTGCACAGGGGAAATATTGGACATGACCCACATTGCGGCTCCCACATCTGAGTGTCTGGCGTTGAGGGGATAAAGGAGTGAGACCCTCATTCTGCTGGGTCTGGAGACATCAGTCATCCATTCCAAGAGGCCTCTGAAAGCCACATTTGGGGGCATCATAGCCTGAGGCTCAAAATGGTTTTTGGGTCTGCATTCCTACCCTCTTATAACTCTCAGATGAAGATTCTTTCCAACTTTGTTCAACCCATCACACTCAAACCCATGAAACATGGAAGAATCCAGATTTCTGGGGCCTTTCCCTGGATGGCAACCCCCTGAGTTCTGATGTGGGGCCCCCAGGGGCTGGCATCTCACCTAAGTTGGGCAAAGCCAAGCAAGGAGAGTAAACTGAAACCAGGAGTGGGGACCCAGACCCTGCCTGCCACAGCAAATGGCAGCCAGCCCTCCAGGTTGCCAGGGCCAGCTAGTCCTGGGATGAGAGAGGGGGACTAAGGGATGTTCAGAGCCTCTCTGAAGAGGTGCCTCACTGTAGGCAGAAATACTGTAAGTTCAAGAAGGGGGTCAAGGCTGACCTCTCTGTTCTTCGTGTGCAGTCAGCTGCTGAGAGCACTTGTTTGACGTTCATTGTCAGGGCTTTATCACATTCTTAACAATCGATAAGACACCTCAGCTGAGGTCCAGCATGAAGGCCAGCTTGGCAGGAGGAGTAGGAAGGAATTGTGTACATGGCAGAGGAGACTCCATGCAGGGTCATGGTCAGGCTGTGGGTGGGGCAGGCTGGATAGCTGTGGGCTGGGCAGAGCCCTGGAGCTGTGGTAGTATTAGCTAAGCCCTGCAGAGAGGGTGGGACCACTTAGCAGCAGGCAGCCTTGGGCTGAGAACAAGATAGAAAGCCAGTGACTGAGTAGCCTGTAGCCACTTGCCTCCACCCATCCGGAAGTTTCCAAAGATAAGGCCACGTAGTTGATCCACCTGGGGGCTAGTAGAGGACCACAGACATGCCTTAGGGTGCAGTCCAGTCTCCTCAAGGAAAGAGGAGTGTAAGAGATGAGGCGAATTCTTCTGAAATATTCTCTTTGTCGAAATATGTTGTTCAAGCACCCTGCAGGAGGCAAACTGCTGCAAAGGACAGATGTTGAGCATCTTCTGTTTCTAGCATGGGAAAGGTCCTTTCCCTGTGTGGACAGGCTACTACACCTGTCAGGGACCATGCAGCAGTAGGAGTCTGTTCTGTTTGTAAGAAGCCTGACAGTTTCACATGCAGGTAACAGGAGCAGCAGGGGCCTTCACTTCTGTTGACAGTTGTGTCTTCTCTGTGGAAACCTGAGTTTTCTGTCCTGGAGTTTCTGGTTTTCTACAGATGACAGAGTAGAACTGTCTGGACAAAAGCTTTGGACACAACCACGGTCCATGAGCTGCTGACCATAGTGCTGAAAATGAAAGAAACCATTGTCCATGCTTCTCAGGCATAGGACTGCAAAGATAACCTTTCCTCGGCAAACCTATCTAGCGTGGCTGTTGCAGAATCCATGAGGGCACAGTGGTGCAAATCTCCTTGGCAATGGCAAGGTCAGGACCTATCAGAGAAACCTCTGTTCTGCTGTAAAATGGAATGTTGGCCTTTATTAGATCCAGATATAGTTTATTTGTGGCCATGTATGAACCTTTACTACCTGCAATGTCACTAAGTCACCCAGACCCAGCATGCTCGAGCACTGAGACAGGAAATTTAGGGCAGAGTCCACCTTGAAAAGAAGATGGTGGTCTTCTGGGGTAAAGATGTGAGCACTGCGGGCTTCTGGGGACAAGAAGGAGATGGGAGAAAGCGTTGTGAAGGGCGGGATGGAGTCCAGAGGAACCAAGGGCAGCACATCTTCCAAATGTCCTCAAGCCGCTTCCTAAAAGACCTCATCATTCAGCCTTTGTCTTATTCTTGCCTAGGCAGCAGGCCATGACCAATACCTCCTTGCCAGTCACAGCGGAATCCACTCAACAGGCAGCGGGCATTGTGTCTGCTTCAGCAAATGGGTTTCTGAGGCCACAGGTGTTTCCCTCTGATCACCCCCTCCCCCAGACAGAGGCCAGACATCTTCTCCTTCCTTCTTCCCTGAAGACACAGCAGCAGACTGTGGCCCAAGGCAAACGGTCATCTCAGCCCTTGCCTGCCTGGGAAGATGCTGGTCACAAATTGAGCTGTCTTTTACTGTAGCCCTGGAGCTGATGGCTGAGGGAGCCAAGACCATTTCTGACAGCCTGTCACCCAAGTACTGAGAACTGTTGGGGACAGGCAGAAGTCAGGCAAATGGCATGGGGATAGGATAGGAGCACCCTGTCAGAACAGGAAGGGATATAAACCAAGAAAGACGCAGCAGGGCCAGTAAGAAAGACACAGGGTCACCTTGCAACAGAAACCCAAGTCCTTGGAGATCCGAAGGTTCATCACACCAGTACTCATAAACCCTTGAAGGAGTTTCCTTCCTTAAACACCATGCTGGCACCTCACCTGCCTTACCCCGTCCCTTCCCTGGGATCTCTTCTCCCTTCCCCCATTCTAGCTCCTCCTGTTGCTGACTTCAGCCCTGCAGCCCAAGGACTTGGTGTACCACGGGCCAGCAACTTCAATGCCTCTTCACTTGTCGGTGACTCCCCATCTCTCCACTTGCCTCGTCTCTTTCCCTGACACCTACAACCCCAAAGCACACTGTAGAAGGTGAAAACGTGGCTGTGTCAGGGGCACAGAGATCTTTCACTTCCTCATTAGGAAACTACACAGCTCTCCTCTGGCGGGGGGCCTCGGAGGTCTGGTGCATAAAATGTCAAATTGCAGAAATTAAAAATGTAAATGCTGGCATCTAATTAACCAGTTGACAGCAGTGCACAGCTGCAAGTGACAGTGACTGATTGCCTTCTGCCAGCCTCTCTCTCTCCCAGAAGCCCCCCCCCAACTCTCTCCTAACCTCCAGAGAGCTCAGGCCATCAGGGAACAGCAACTGTTCAAAAGAATCCTCCAGTCCTGCTCGGGAGGCAGAAGGCAATCCTGTGGCAGGAGCTTGGAACAAAGTAGATGCTGTGGGCAGAAGTCCTCTAACTGTTGGTTTTTCTCTCTCCACCCTTCCATACCCTTCCCTCTGTGTCTCTTATGTCAGAGCTGCAGAGAGCTCTCCCTGACTGTGGCACAGAAGCCTGGATGGAACACTACTATGATCCCCAAAAGGTCACAGCATAGGGTCCCAGTGCTTGGAGCTTCCCTGTGGCCCGTACACTCTCTGCATAGATTCCAATTCCTCTCTGTCTGCCACCTCTCACAGATATTACTCAGACATCGGGAAGATGCCAGCGATCAGCGACCAGGACATGAACGCATACCTGGCCGAGCAGTCACGGATGCACATGAATGAATTCAACACGATGAGTGCACTCTCAGAGATCTTCTCCTACGTGGGCAAATACAGTGAGGAGGTAATAAGCTTTGCCCTGCCCTGCCGGGGCCTGTAGAGGCAGAGATGAGGAGCACGTCTGAATGCTTTGTGTACAGAGACAGCCACACGGATATGCCCCCTGATGCCTCTGTTAGGAAGATTCTACCAGCCAGACCCAGGGCGGCCCTGTGGGACTGAAGTGGGTACTGAGGATGGGCTGATCCTCATATCTGCATCAGATCCTATTCTTCTCAGATACAGATCTCTGTTTCTTTTATTCCTCTCTATTCCTTGCCCTGGGACTGAATCCAAGGCCTCACACATGCTAAGCAAGAGTTCTACCATTTTTCATTGTGAGATAGTCTCCATAAATTGTCCAGACTAATCTTGAGTTCACTTTGCACCCCGCCCCAGGTCCCAGTCTGGTCTTGAACTCGCCTCCTGCCTCAGCCTTCCAGAGTTACTAAGAATACAGCATGCCCCAGCAGACCTAGCTTATTCTTTCTCCATCATTGCCCTTGAATTCTTTTCATTGTCGTCTCTGATCCAATCCTCCCTGAGTGAGGACTTCCTCACTCTTAGTGTACTATGGCATCTTGTAGAGCAGAACAGACCAGAACAGAATAGATACAGGATGGAACGGAAAAATAGAGTGGAATAGATGGACAGAATAGAAAGGAATTTTGGGATAGAAGGAGAATAAACAAAACCAGAACAGAATAGGGATGGAAAGTATGCATTTTTTATTGTATTCTCTAGTTAGAAAATACCACCTGGGTAACTGCCACTATAGATTCTACCTTCATTCTGGTTAACATAAAGGAGCTATGGGAGGTGCTTAGCTGTGCGGATACAGACTTAAGTGGTTTGGGATCCAGAGTCCCTACATCCAAGCACAGCATAGCAGCCTTCTTGGAGCAGAAGCTAAGCACACCCAAGAGCTAAGGCCACTGCCCAGGCTTTTTTATTCCTTACAGTCTTGTCACCCAGAGAAGTTCAAAAACCCTGTTAAAGAATCCCAGCAGGCAGGTCTAGAGCCCAGTGTCCTGCAGTCGATGAACAACATATGATATGACCTTATATGACCCTCATGTTAGCAAAAAGGGGTAGTGAGTCCCTTAGGGGAGGGACCACTGCCACCAGTCTCCAGATCAGTTATGGTCCCTGGCAAAGTGTTCCTGTTTGTGGCAGTCAAGCAAATAAGAATGTTCTGTGATACAGCACTGCTCCTTCATCTTGGAAAGGACCACCCCGTCACCTACCAGAACACTTGTCAACTTTTAGTATCACAGCGGTAAAGGACAAATCCTGGCTAGCTCAGTAGGCAGCTCTAGCATCTGTTCCTCAATTAAATATGCATCAATTAGTCATGAAATTCAAAGCCCAAGGAGCCTCCAGGTTTCCCTAAGCTCAGTCACCATTCTTTGCTCTCCAACCCTCATCCCTGCCCTTCAGACCACAGAACATCCCACCCTGCTGGCCTCCTGTGGAGCAGGCATTGTGCTCAGGTTGCTCGTGTGTGTGACCTGGCCTTATCCATGGGACCTAAGCAAAGCAGAGGTAGATTCCAGAGAAGGAAGCATGATCCTTCAGAAAGATCATGTTTTACTCCATTATCACCAGGCTGGAAGCTGGCAGAACCATGACTCCGTGTGGCTTGTCTTGAGTCCCCAGGAAATCCCAGAAACTTTTCTGCAAACACCACCATCACCCATTATTGTCCTCTGCCAATCTCCTGACAGCAGAACGAGTTTGGGAGACTATGTGCCTGTTATAGAATAGGATTGGAAAGCATATTCAACTTACAACCTTATTCCTTCAGGGATATTTGGCTTTTAACAGACAAAGTTAAGTCAACTGACTTTCTAAATGTGAATATTTGGGCCCCAAGGAGCTACTGGGAACTCTCTTCCTTATAGTGGAAGGAAAAGTAGGACTTGTTAATATCATAAAAGCACCACCAGCACCCCACTTTTGTGCTGGCTCTGGAACTCCCCAGATGCCACTGAGACAGAGGTGACAGTGGCTTCTAAGCGTCTTCAGCAAAGCTTCTCCTCCTGCCACTGTTGCTCACACACTATCCAGATGTGACAGTGTGTGTGCTGCTGTCCCGTGCTGCTGGTGACATGGGTGCTTTTATGCCTCCCACCTCTTCTTACCCATGTCCCCATGTCACTCAGGCTGCTTGCTTACACAGCATTTCTAGTAGCAACAGGTGCATTAGTGCCCTGACAATGTCCATGCTGCCTTTATGTTCCCTACAAACATGGGTACACATACCCAGACTAGTAATTTTCCATCTTCGATCCTTCCACAGATCCTTGGACCCCTGGACCATGATGACCAATGTGGAAAGCAGAAACTGGCTTACAAACTAGAACAAGTCATAACCCTCATGAGCTTAGACAGCTGAGAACTGTCCTTCCAGGGCCATCCTGGAGGGAGGGACACACCAAGCCGTGCCTCAGTCTAGATTATCATCTTTACCAAGTGCAAGTTCCGACAGGCATCAGCAGCAGCAATCCCCCCCAGCAGCGCCGCCGTCTCTCCTTCCGTTTTTCTCTCTCTCTTCTGTCTCTCCCTCTTTCCGGAGTCCCATCTCTCTCAGTTGCTCTGTCAGTGTGACTGGACCACAACACTGACCCTCAGTCAGTCCAGGGATGGCCAGACCCATGGTGAGAGATCTGACCAGAAGATGTCAGAGTGAGGCTCTCCCTCCCAGCTGCTCCTGGCTCCGTGCATCAGCAGCAGGCCTCAAATAAGGACGAGGAGCTGAGGACGGAGAACACTCCTATGCTGCTACTTCACCTTCTGCGTTGAAAATCCCAACTGTGGTCCAAAACCTGGCTTCAGGAAGCAACTGTGAGCTCAGTATTATCTGAAGTAGGAGACATCACTTGGATCTCCCTTTCCACACCCTTAACAAGGGACCAGGTAGTGGCCTGGGTGCTTTGTAACTGTGAGAATAAAAAAGGTCTTGCCTCCTTCAAATGTAGAAGTGAGGACCAGTGGAAGTTTAAAGATGCTCTCTCAGGGGCCACTGCCTACACGTTTGATGTCCAGCAGCCTTCCATCCCCTTCCAATAGCCTTCCAAGTATCCATACAGATCTTTCTCCCCTGCCTGTGAAAAGTCAGGACAGGAGAAAGCTAACGGTTACATTCCACCATGGATATTCTCCTACATCATCTAATCTGGTTCCTAATAGCAGAAATGTAACATGGAGAGAGAGAGAGAGAGAGAGAGAGAGAGAGAGAGAGAGAGAGAGAGAGAGAGAGAGAGAGAGAATCATCTATGCCAGAAGCAACATTTATTGTTCTCTATTCACCCCCAAGTTCAAATGCATCCTGACCATAGTCAGAGGTCCATGGCCAGAGCCTCGTACGTTGTCTATAGAAGGCAACTCCATTCTCCTTTGCCACCATCATCAAAGGTCGCAGTGAAATGCAGACTGGATCTAGGAGATTCTACCTCCAGCCATCTCCAAGGCTCCATCCCCACTGTCTTTGAGAACACCATAGAAGGCCAGGGCAAACAGCCCAGTCCCCGTCCTCCTGCAGAATCTGGTGCCATTGCTATGCAGATGACTTTGTCACTGGACTGTCCAGACCTCTGTGGGATTGTTTCATCAACATATCAGCTGTCTCTTCCATGGTCCTTCTTCTCCATCCCTTCTGAAGTCATCATTGGAGGAAACACACTTAAGCACAGCCTCACCAAGACAGAACAAGACGCCAGCCAGCCTCAGTCACCAGCTTACGCCTGGAAGGGACTGGAGAGCCAAGTGAGGAATCTGGATGGATACGGAAAAAAGTGCATCCCACTGTCCACGGCCTTGGCATTTATCTTTCCATCGTGTTTTTCCATCCGCGGAGATATGCCATTTTGTGTTAGCCACTCAGGCAAATGTGTGCTCAGAAATGTAACAAGTGGTTATGACAAGAGGTGGTCGTCTCGTGGGTCTTGGGACCCCACAATCTCGAAGGGATCTTGGATAGTGAATGGCCCAGTCTCTGCTGTGAGCGGGAATCTCTTTTGGCAGCTCAGGTTTGTTGTCCATCACTCATGGAGCCCAGAGAGGCACTGGAGAAGGTGGTGTTAATAGCATCCCACAGTCGTGTCTTCCTTCGTGTCCCATGCATCACGGGTCATTTCTTCCCATAACCTAAAATGAGCCTCACACGGAGAAGGAGCTCCATACTTTTCAAGCCAAGTTTATGTGTCACCCTGCACCTTTAAGGACATGAGCCTCTTTGCATATGGGAGAGCAGGGTTGAGGGAGGCACCTGGGAATCTGCAGAACGCTCAGAAAGGTTTCTTGTCCCGTCTAAGAGGACGTTGAGATGGTCTCCTTCTCTGTCCCCTGGCTCGTCCGTCCATCCTTCAGTGTCGGTATGCGTCACTGAGTGTCAGTGTGTGTGTGGTAAGGGCATTCTTCTGTCCATAGGAAATCAGAGTGTCACCTGCCAAGGCTGAACTTTGGCAACCCGGAGCGGGCAGTACCACGTAGCATTGCTGGGGACAAACATGGCAAAGACACAGCAATGGAGACAAAGGGAAGAGAAGCCTGGGGAAAAGATGCCCTGGAAGAGGGGAGGGGCGGCGAAAAGGAAAACAAAACAACACAGGTTTGACAGATCAAGTCCCAGGTGGAGACGTGGAGTTTCTATCACTGGTTATTGGTTTTCTTCCATGAAGCTGCAGGACCCGGCAGGCTTCAGGGTGCACGTGGGGGTCAGGCCGAGGGAGCACCTCAGCTGAGAAAGTATTTTTTGCACATATGAAGGGTTGTGAAAGGAGAGAGAGACACGAACATATTTAACACAGATTTGCGGGATAGAAGAGGTGTTTGTGTGTGTGTGTGTGTGTGTGTGTGTGTGTGTGTGTGTGTGTGTGTGCATGGATGAGTGTGCTCTGATTTTTAAGTTTTGCACAGTTAGAGAAAAATGAGACTTTTACCATGGCTTTGCTGACTTTTTTTTCCTGGATAATTTTACTGTTGTTATTATTTTGTCGGTACAGATTCTTTTTCCTTGCATTTGTTAACAAGCAAAACTTCAAACACCTCAGAGAAATATACATATCAGGAAGAAAGAAGCAAGGACAGTCTCGCCTGGGTTTCCTGGGTCTCCTCGTTTCTCTTGAGGAGGGCTTTAGGCAGATGATTTTACTTTAATTGGGTTCTCTCTGGCACTTCATAGGCAGTCCCTGTGGCCTGCTTAGGGACACAGAAATTGACGCCCATCTTGCCTGTAAAAACCTTCCCTTTTGCTGTTTGTGTGTGTGTTTCTTTTTGTTTTCCATTTGATTTTTTTTTATTATTGCAAGTGTGATACATTTAAAAGCAAGCCTAGGCAACGTTGTCCGAAATCTGTCATATCCTCCCAGATTATTCCTTCCAAACCCCCTTGGGATTTTCTAGTTCCTCTTAGCAGCTAGGAGACCCTAATGGTCTGTGAGCTTCCAGAAAACTAAGTCAGAGAAACTAGGACATACGACAAAGTAGTGCCTCGCCCTCTCTCCGGTTCACTTGCAGGGTGTTCCAGATCTGTTGAAGGTGGAACCGTTATTTATCTCTTGGAGTTTGTTCAGAGGGAATGTGTGTGGGAGTAGGTATTCTCTCTCACATCCCCTTCACCTCACCTCTGCATCCTCCTGCTCCCTTCCCCTTCACCTCACGCCTGCATCCTGCTCCTGACACTACTGGTCAAAACGGTACTGATTGCACACAATGAATGTCCAAGTGAAGATTTGAATCTTAAAGGGAGAGGACCAGCAGGGAGCTTGATGGGGTCCTGAACATAAAAGAAAGGATAAAAGAGACCTAGGTCGGTTACTTCTCTGTGGCATATATCTCTGTAGGTGTGGGCGTGGTCTGGTTCTGTCTTTATCCTGCCCTGTAAGGAGACGCTGTGATGTTTCTTAGTGCCATGAAGTCATTAGCTTCTGTGTCAGCTACTTCCTCAGGAAAATACTTTCTTGCCTTTTTCTTTCAATGCAGTTTTAAAAATGGGGACAGAAGATAAGCAGAGAATCCCCCAGACCAAGGTACTTTGCAACCCTGTGCAACATGCATGGCCAGAACCAGCCACTGGAGCCTCCACGTTGGGAGTCCATAGCCCTGGAGCGAGCTCAGGGTGGGTGCCTGAGTGGGGCCACGTTTGGAAAGAGAAATAATTTGTAACGAATCCTGCAGCTCAAGGCAGAGTATCCAGGACAATACCAAGGAAGCAGGAGTTTCTGTGATCGTGGGCTCAGGTCCTGCTTCTACTGGGTTAATGTTGATATAATACCTATCATGTCCACACATCCATCACCCCAACATTCCATCCTGGAGGTCCATGGTGCTCATGTACCACCCCATACCCACACCCCAATGTGCATGTCTGTCTCCCGACTGTGCCCCACTCTGGCAGCTAGCTTCCTCCCTGTTCCTCCTTGAACCTCCTATACAAGGAGCCTCCCCAAGGTCAAGTACTGATTCCGATACAGGAGTTAGTCAGTTCTTCATTCCATTAGAAGTGAGTGCTGTCCCATCCTAGCTTTGGCTGCTTCCCCTGAGTGATAGGATCTCCCTCCTCCAATCAAAGCCCTGTGGGTTCTCCATTAGAGGAGCCACAATAAACGGCATCCCAAATGATCTATGAGACGCAAGCCCTGCCATACTTTCTAGGGGCCTGAATGATGCTACTGTGGTTCATCCTGGCCTAAGCACCTCCCACTTTGACATAAATAGGAGAGCCTCCTTTCTGGCTTCTATCCTAGGAGACTCTGCCTTTGGCTTCACTAGACATCAAGTAACTGCTCCATCCTGAGGAAGGCCAATGACCCATAATCAGGAATCAATTTTCCCTCTTCTCACAGACATGGGGAGGTTCTCAGCTGGTAGGAGACTCAGGTACTTAGTGTGTGTTCCTTCCAAGGGCAGCACTGAGTGACAGTTCTAGCAAGCTCCTAAAGGGAGCGTTGGGTCCAGGGGCATTTCAGTGAGTGAACCAAGGTGACCCTGTCCAGGCTTTTCTCTGGCCTTTCCTCCATCTTTCTCAGCCACATCAAGGACCTCCACCCATCCTTTCAGGACTAGTGTACCCAGACCATACAGCCCTTCCCTTTGGAAAAAAAGACATGGCATATTTGATTGGGTTTTTGTAGTTCGCTGGTTTTTTGGCCTCTTCTCTTAAGAATTTGAAAGTCATGAGGGAGCCTGGCTGTGGGAATAGAATGACTGAGAGGAAGAGTTAAACAGAATTCTTAAATTCTTCCAGTGACTTCTAAGCAGATGAGGCGAGTTTAAAGATGGGAGTGAGAACGCCTCCCCATTAGTAAAAGCAGAGGGTCCAGAAATTCCCCCATGTGAACTGTGAGCATGCCAGTGGAGGGGAGAAGCATCCTTGTGGCTGATAATACCCTCAAGCTTCCCCTGCCCTTTTGACAGACAGAGCCCTCTCCTCCCATCTCTGACAGATTTACCCCAGGCATCCTGCATGAACCTGACTCAAGCTTCATTCTCATCAGTGGGCAAGCTTCATTCCCATCAGTGGGCAGTTGGGGTACCATTCCAGGTGATGGTAGAGGGGCAACTCCCAGAAGAGGCTGGGGCCTTGTATGCTTCTCCTGGTGCTCTGAAGGGGCCGCACCATTCCTCCCATTTAGAAAGCAACCACTGCAGGAAATGATTTAAATATTAGGAGAGACTTTTTGTTTTACTACAAATCATTGCTCTTCAGTAATATTGCTTTTAATTACAGGGAGCATTCAAGTTTAAAAAAATTTAGGTCTTTTCATTATAAAGACAGAACATCTTCATTAGTGTCCCGTTGGAATCCTTTGAGTAGACTGACGGCTATCAGAAAGCTGAGCAGAACAAACAGTTCCCGAGGAGTGAAGAGAACATTGTGTCCTAGGTCCTGGAAGAGATGGCGAGGGCTCTAAGTGGTGGGGTTTGGTTGGGGAGTCTCCATATCCCTCCTCTCTCTTCCCTCCTCCTTCCTCCTTGGGCTCCTATCTAATCCTGGCTCTCTGGGCTGACTCTGGAATCGGTGAATCCTTCATATTGTTTCTCAGCTTCCTTCAAACTGCACTGAAGCTCAGTTTGGGGGGACCCAAACTCTCCCTCCCCAGTGACACAAAAGCAGGTGGACAGCTAATCAGCCAGTTTCTGCCCGTTTCTTTTGTTTGTATCTTTAAACTTAAGACTCAAGCACATATCGGAAAGGGCTCCCTTATGAGAGTAGAGTTCAAAGTGGCAGAGGGTACGGTTCGACAGCACCCCCAAAGACACTCTGAAGCAGAGAATCTTTCAGCAAACAGGACTGAGGAATGTCCCTGTGCAGAGATCAGCTCCATTTGAGCAAGAGGCGAAGATGGGCTATGTGCCTGCATCTACCCTCCTGCCCCTCCCCTGGCGTTCCTATCAGTTGGTTGGCTTATGAAACCTTCCGTTCTTTAAAAATAAAAGCTAGTTTACCTCAAAGAATCATGTTTCCATTTGGAAACCTGTGACATGGCTTGAGAATAGATGGCCCTGCCCACAGCCCTCCCTTCCTGAGCCTAGTGTCCTTGAGACTCATGGTCTTAGCTTAGTCTGAGGATGGCTGCTCTGAGGAGGAGCCAGGTCCTCAGGCCTGAGATGGGGAAGAAGGTTGGATGCAGCCTTCCTCCCCAGCTAACATGTAGGGAACAGCCTCTGTCTCTTCCAGCAGGGTCCTGTCAAGTTACCATAGCAACCAGCAACTCCAGGTACCACAAAAGACAATGGCTCTAAGAACTGAGGTGTGGGAGAGAGCAGGGATTCTGGCCTGGTCAGAGTACCCAGGATTAAGCCCCAAATGCTAGGAGGGCCAAGGAGGAGGAGAAATAGAAATGGGCGCGTGAGTGGGTTAAGCCGCTGCAGAGGCCTTGTGAGTCTGAGCGAGAGGCCGCTGAAAGAGGCAGGACAGATCATCTCTGTTCTCTTCACCACTCACCCCTTTCCAGCATCATGCCCCACTTCTACTCCAGAACTCTCCCCTTGAGTACCGACCTTCGAAAGAAGGAAGCAAAAATATACCTTTGGACAACAGTGTTACCCTGAGCCTCAAGGATAGGTGGATGGGGTCTCTGAAAAAAAAAAAAGAGGGTCTTCTGGTTTTGATTTTTAAAGAAGAGTATCCTAGTAAGATTAAAAAAAAGATTTAAAAAAGTTTTTAAAAGAAAACCTATGCTATTTAAATTGGAGCCCAGTTGTAACTTGGTAAAGGCAAGCTTCTGTACCTTTGTTATAATTAATTGTATACCTGTGTATGTAAATATAAGGCATTCCTATTTTGCAGTTCAGAACAAAAAAACTATTTGTAATATAGAATAAAGTTTATTAAAAAATAATAAAAATGCAGTTTGAGATCTGGGGTCTTTATGTGACTATTTGGGTAAGGTGGGTAATGGGTAGGCGTTGACCTCTGCCATGATGACATGTGCACCTCCTCTCTCCAGACACACAAGGTCTAATATTCTGAGAATAGCCCTTCTACCTAAGGCTTTGTTCTCACTTAAACAGCCACACAGGGTGGTGCCTCTGCACCCCCACGATGTTGACAAGGCTTTGTCAGGGACCTCTGCCAACCCCTGAATCCATCTTGACGCAACCCTCAGCTCTCTGACCATCAGAGTCACTTTGCAAAATGAAACAAGTTTTGCTTTTCTGCTCTAACTCTTCCTGGCAAGCCACACTCTAGTTTCTCCAGCCTGAAAGGCAGCGTCCCTGCCCCCAGTGTAGCTCAACCATGGTAGGTGGTGAGGGCACCTGGCCTTAGGAAGGGGCTTGGAGGAAGCAGCCATGGGTGTGCCTATGGCTGGACATCTTAGCCTTCCACCTCCAGAGAGTCACACTGGACCAGGACGGAACTGCTGAGGAAGAAGATGGTGAGGCTGGGAGTCAACAACCTCTATACAGACAGCCGTGACAAGCAAGTGACACAGAAACACCTCCACAGTGACTCTGTGAACAGAGGGAGACATGTCTGCGGCCTTAAGACCTGGGTGCTGGTTACTCAGACTCAACCAGGAAAGTAGCCAGTGACCAGCAAGAATGCTCTCTTCTTAGCAAACATGGAGGCTGGGTAGGCACATGTAGATCAAGATGCTCTACTCCACCCTAACCCCACCACATCCCCAGAAGATGTTTATCAATGTACTCTCCAGCTTCACCAGACCCAACCACCATGACCTCAAGCAGACAGATCACTTCTTGGTGCACTTGCTTCCTTATTCACAAAGTGAGGGTTGTTCTAACTGTGCCATGAAGTCCAGAAAGGCCTTTTAGTCTGATTTAGATAACTGATTGAAAAGAGATCTGATGTTCTGCAAAAGGCCATGCAAACACACTAAGTTTTATTAGCCACGAAAACAGCCTTGTACAAAAACACAGGTTGATCAGTCCTGGGGCCTTGGTGACATTTAGAGTGGCTACCTTAGATACTCATTGGAAAACAAAATAAAAAAGTAAAACAGTAAATAGCTCACACCTTCTGAACAAATACTGTCATTAAACTGGGACTCTTAAAGACTGTGGCCATTACTCAGTTGAATTTACCTTGGCTTAGCTCGGTGACTGGCTCAAGGAGATACTCAGTCAACTGCGGATGAATTGAAAGAGGGAAAAAGCTGTTGAAGTATACAAAAGCAATCAGCAACTCAATTGGCGACTGAGCTGTCTTCCCACTATGAGAATAGGGGTCATTATTTTCCACAATGGACTACACATCCCATAAATACTTTATCTTCAGGATGAGATATTCAACTGGGTGCTATCTTTTGCAGGTAGAGAACAGGAATTATAATCAGATTTATCAGAGTTGCTCCTGACATAGCAGAGGGCATGGAGACCTGGGAGGGTCATTGTAGCACCTTGCACCTCCTCTAACCCATCTGACTTTTGTCTGAGCAAAAAACCTTTGAATACAGAGGCAGAAACCATAGGACTGCTGAGGGAACCCACTAGAATTAATGACACATGTGTGATTGTGAAGTCATGCCTAGAGACAACTTGGAGTTTATGTTACTGTACCATTTCTACTTTCCCCTCTCTGGATGGACAATGCAATGTCCCACACCAGCAAAGTTCATCTGGCCCACAACTTGCTTCCAACCAGTGCAATATGAGAGCTGAATGATATAATCACCTGCAGTGCTCCTGGGAGCAGCTTGCCCCATCAACCTGGACAATGACAACATACGAAAGAGCCACTAGGTGATCCTGGTGGATATACGGATTAAGTTAAGTCTCCATCTTTGCTTCTCTGGATCACTAAGATATGAGCTCTCTTGTTACTCAGGCAGAACATAGTCCACCCTGACTACTGCCTCTGGGAATAGCGCAACTGATGAAATTTGCACTTTCAACTACAGAGAACAGAGAACTATTCTTCTGACTAAAAGGTCTCTCTCTCTCTCTCTCTCTCTCTCTCTCTCTCTCTCTCTCTCTCTCTCTCTCTCTCTCTCTCTCTCTCTCTCTCTCTCTCTCCCCTCCATTCATCTCCCCTCCTTTCTTCCCCTCCCTCCCCTCCTCTCCTTCCCATCTTCCTCCCTTTCTTTCTTTGACAGTCTCTCACTACTAAGTCCAGGCTGGCCTCAACCTCATTAACAAGTACCTAGACTTAGGTACTTGGCCCAAGTCTATTATTCGCTCATGAGGTGCTCCTAATTTTCCTAGCTGGGTCTGGGACAGATTAGGACAACAGAAAAAAAAAACTAAGGGAAGGAAGGAATAGTGGAAGGACGATTGCCCAGGGAGAAGTGAATTTTTTTTGGAGAAGGCAGAATCTAGCCAGAGTTTTAAAAAATAACCTACGGTTTTCTGGCATTTTGATTCTGATCCACAATCAGAAGTAGGGGAAGCAGATGACTCATACTCACTTATGGACAGAGACCTTACTCTTTGCTTTCATGACCCAGGCACTTCAGGGGCCATGGATTAATTGTCACGTCCAAGAATCACACCAAGCACAATCAGCCCCTCAAATGACACAGAAATAATATCCAGAAATCCCAGTCACATGATACATGTCTCTAAAGGGGAAAGACCTCAAGTTTTGGGGGAACATTCAGTTTGCCAAAATACGCAAGAGTGAGCTTAAGAAGATACAGATAAACTGTGCCAAGGTCAAGAGTGCATGTGCCAAGGATATTAAGCCCTCACCTCATCAAACCCAAAGAGGTGGAGCCCAAGATCCAAAGGGTGCCAACAGCAAGCTCTATCAACTTGCCCACCTCATGCACTCCAAGCCTATGAAGCATGTTCATCTCACATTGCCACAGATCACAATGTACTTTCCAAAGAGTCCCAAGCTGACGTTTCTGGGTCAGACCCAAGGCTCCCTCAGAGGCTCCCAAAGGTGTCCAGGCCTCCATCTGACAATACAAGGACTAGTGTGATAATGTGACTCTCCTGTCCCACAGCAGCCTTCTGAAGGTGATTAGTGTCCCAAAACAGAATCGCAAGCACATACAAAAGGAAGAGGAACTATATTGTCAACGTAAATCCTTCTCAGCATGGCAGTTGCCTCTCCAGGCTCTTGCTGAAAGTGTGACACCTAAAAAGATGCCGCCTGGTTTTAGGAAAGGCCTGATAGTCCATCTAAGACACCGGGGAGGCAGAACACATCCTTATTTTGCCACTCTCCACAGTCATGCACTGATAAGGACCTTCCCACACATTCCACATAGGACCCATTCGACATGGCCCGAGATGTCCTCTAATCATCTCCATTATACCATCCCAAACTCCACTAGACCGCTAGGGAGGTGTACACAACCCTAGCACAAGGAATGTATCTTTCAGCATAAACACCCTGTTTCCTCAAACCGAGTAACCTAAGATACGTATGCTTGAGTGAAACCGAGTAACCTAAGATATGTATGCTTGAGTGAAACTGAGTAACCTAAGATATGTATTATTGAGTGATCCTTACTGCCCCATCGCACTTTTGATTCCTTGTCCCACTCCAGTTTGTCTTCTGCTCTTTGCATTCCCATGAACAACACATACTTCAAGTGTCACCACTGCCACCACAAAGCTACATTTGAAGCCCATGCATGTATGGACTACCACCTCTAGGATCAATTTCTGATTCTCCTTTGTACCCTGCACATTCATACTGTTTACAGTAAAGAATACAACTAAAGCCGGGCGTGGTGGTGCACGCCTTTAATCCCAGCACTCGGGAGGCAGAGGCAGGTGGATCTCTGTGAGTTCGAGACCAGCCTGGTCCACAAGAGCTAGTTCCAGCACAGCCTCCAAAGCCACAGAGAAACCCTGTCTCAAAAAACCAAACCAAATAAACAAAAAAAGAATGCAACTATGATGGTCTGGCTCAAACATACCCTGTACTGATCAGATCTTTCTAGAACAAACTCCTAACAACCTGTGACCCTCAGAATTTTTGTCTGTCAAGATGAGAACCATGACTTCTTTCAGGCAGGATTGTTGCAAGTAAGATAATGATTGAGTACTTAACACAGGTCTGGATACCTTGTAACTTCCTGGCAGGTGGCAGCTTCTTCTGCTGCAGAAAACACACTCCTGAAGAACCCTGTATGCTCACCCCCTAGCCCTAGTTTACAGGACAGCACTTAACATGAAGTAGTTGCCCTAAAGGCGTGCTTTAAACAGACAGATAAAATTAAGCAGCAGTAAAACTTTCCAACAGTACAATCTTGCAATATAATTATATGTCAACTTCTCAGTGGACTTTGGAAATGATAACCAAAGATTACTAGTACCAGAGTTCCCAAACCAGTACCCTGACCAAAGGGCTTGCGAGCAAGTGGTCCTGAGGAAGGGGAGTGGGGAATATGGAAGCAAAGACAAGCCATTTCAAACTGTCCCCTACTACAGGCAGCTGGGATTCCACTCCCTTGGATCTGTAAAAACTGTAGAATGCCCCTTGGGGTGGCTCTCATTCCTAATTGCCTAAAGACTGCCCAATGACTATTTATTCATCCCTACCTCTAAGTGAGCTTGTTGGAATGGCTAAGTAGCTTCCCCAGGGACTGCATCAATTGGAGCAGAGGAGCTGTAGGACTGAAGGGAGACATGGTTTCCTTAAATAAAACAGATGTTGTCAGACTACAGATGAATGTGTCAGCTGGTTGATGTGAGGACAGCTGGGATAGAAAGGTAGGTCAATGCACTATGCTGTGGTATGAAAAGTGTCTGCAATACAAGATATAATCCTTTAAAGCCCTTAATTGATTCTATAAAAGTAATATTAGAGTCATTTCAAATTATATTTTTCTGGTAAGAATCCCAAAATTTCTTCTACCTTTTTATTTTCCCATTGTTCCTTTTGTTCTCGCTAACCCTTTATTAGTTCTTTAAGACCTTTGTATAATAGATTTTGG